ATATATATATATATATATATATATAGAGGTTGCATTCCAACGAGAAGAGTTGAGGTGAGAAACGTAAGAAAGGATCACTACTAGAATGATGAGAAAATCCGCTGGAAATATACCGGCGGATTTCCGAAGGATTTCCGTGGGACAACAAAAAAGTCAACTTATGTTGACTTCCGATGGAAATCCGCCGGTAAAATAATTCTGATAATAAGGATTTCCGGCGGATATTGCCGTCGGAAATGTTGCCATGTTTGGTAGTGGATCTCGATGCACATTATGATGAGATGCACCGGATTAATCCCCATATCAAGTGCGGTTTATGAATGGGTTTGTGATTAAAGGTGATCAAGGGTCTAGATTTTTTCTCACACTTCTCAGCTTAACTCTCTTTCTCACACTATCATTCGCATATATATATATATATATATATATGTGTGTGTGTGTGTGTGTGTGTGTGGGGGGGGACGGATTCAATTAAGAACCTATTTTTTGTTGAGAATTGAGAAAAATGCCTACAACGCGAAACATATCATATTTATTACAATTATAAACGTATTATTCACGACGAATATTAATCTTGAAGATCGTCGCGTGTGTGCTGTAGACTGTTCCCTGGTTCTCAAACGAACCTCCAACCTTCTCTCTCATTCTCTCTCTCTCTCTCTATATATATATGTGATAATCAGATCCTGGTTATTACCCAAGGTATTTAATACGTGATTATCTGATTTAATAATTACGTGATAACATGATAATTGATACATGCCGGAATGAGAATTTGTGAATTAATTGAATATATATATATATATATATATATATTTTTTTTTTTTGTGTGAGTATATATATATATATGTGATTATTATATGCATGGATGTATGTATGTGTATGCATGATCATGAATGAGGTGGAGGGGGAAAAAGGAAGGCGGTTTAAGCCGACCTTCCATATTTGGAAGGTATAAAAGGGGCTTCACTTCCTCATTTACCTTTCCTGCTATTTTGAGAAAATTGAGAGGTTTAAAGAAGAGTTGTCCGGTTTGCTAAAAGGAAGTGATTTCAAGTTGATTGCAAGTATCAAGTTTCAAAAGGGATCGATTTCTAGCGTTTTGGTTTCAAAAGTTTTATAAGGTGAGTGGTCTCTAAACCTTTTTGTATAAAGATTTTGCTGGTTTTATTTGCATGCTTAGTATTGTTATCCTTTAGAAAGAAACATTGATTATAGTGTCTAAATGTTTATCCGGATAAAGAGTGACCGGATTAATGTAAACCGGATAAAACTTGAGCGGTTTATTGTCCGGATTGCTTTTAAACCGGATAAGCCTTAACCGGCTTATTGACCGGACTAGTTTAAACCGGACAAGCCATGAGCGGTTTGTTGTCCGGAGTTGGTAAACCGGTTGAGTGTTGAGCGGCTTATAATTGGTAGTATTACTTAAAATTTTATACTAAGAAGTAGGAATACGACCACATGGGGAGCGGTTTATTTTAAACCGGACAAGTCTTGAACGGACTGTTGTCCGGATTTGATATCCGTTCAAATATGAATTTGTTCCAAGTGTAAACCGTTCAAAGAGTATGTGGTATGCTGACCGGATTTGATGTCCGGACAAAGTGAATTTTATTCCAAGTATTTAAACCGGACGATTGTTGACCGAACTTGTTGACTGGATTTGTTGACCGGATTTGAGATGATGTCATGTTTTAAAAAGAAATTATTATCTTATCATAAAAATTAAGTTTTGATATAAATTTTTTCAAACTGATAACAATTCCAATGACTGCGGTCTATCGGAATTATTTTATAAATATTTTGATAAAGTGATAAGGGTGGCATATCAAGGAGAGGTGTCCATTTGATATAAGGTGGCATATCAAGGAGAGATGTATATTTGTTATAAGGGCGGCATTGTCTGTGTGTGGTATTATATAACTCTTTCTATTATATCCCCTAAGACTACCGTGGTCTGAAATCTTTATTTCTTTGTGATTTAAAGATTTAGGATCAAGGTTCTTATTGGAAATCATAGTCTGGATGTTATTGAGAAGGAAACGGCAGGTTTGGCCTGAATCTTTGTTTAAACCTCGTTTGATAAGAAAAGGTTTAAAAGTGACATTAAATGCAACCTGATTGATTCGAAGGTATGGAATTTGTATAGCTACGTGGTTAGCTTGAAAGTGGAAAATGATTTGATTTTACCTACTTGCGTATTCATATATTTGTTATATATATGAATAGTTGTTTTATAAAGGTTTTGGTGATTCTTCACCCTACAATTACATGATTAGGGTAACTCACTAGACTTTTCAGTCTAACCCTCGTTTTTGTGATTTTAAAATGTGTATTGCAGGAGGTGTAGAAGGTAAAGGAAAGGAAAATATTTAATGTTTTTCTTAAATGCATTTTGGATGAGGAATTGCTTCTGATGATTAGTTTTGTTGTTTAATACAAGATTGTATTTTGAATTTTTGGACCCTGTATTTGGTCATGATAGTTTCTTGTACTATGGGACCCGGACGTATATGAATATGTATTTCTTTGGTATGAAATATATGTGTTACATGCAATGTGTGGGTTGGGGCGTTACAATATATATATACAAAAAAGTTTCATTAGGAATCTAAAACTGATTAGGAATTCAAAAACCGTCTATAACACACCATATATCCTTCTTAAAAATGATTATTAATTGTAGAATATTATAATATGCACCTCACACTGAATTATGATATATTACCCTATAAATAATACAAGGAAGATAGAAAAATTGGGAAACAGTTACAACAATATCCTTTTTTAAAGGAAACTCAATATTACTTTAATTTTGAGAGACATTCGTAATACCCCGCTCCCTTCAAGCGAGACGACGGAGGACCAACACCCAAGTTGCGTCGAAAATGCTCAAACAGAGGTCTAGGAAGACTCTTAACGAATATATCGCCAGTTGGAGCTTGGATGGAACATAGGGAGTATAAAGCTTGCCGGAAGAGATGAGCTCATGAACAAAATGATAATCGAGGTCAATATGCTTGGCTTGTTTATGTGAGACAAGATTTTGGCTAAGAAAAAAAGCACTCCGGTTATCACAAAGAATAGTAGGACGATTAGGACGCAAGACATGAAGCTCCCGAAGAAGATACGTAGCCCATACTATTTTCGCAGCAGTGTTAGCTATTGCCTGATACTCATATTCACAACTCGATCGTGATACCGTAGGTTGTTTCTTGGCACTCCACGAAACAAGATTACCGCCAAGAAAAATCGAATAACCATATGTAGAACGTGGAGTTTCAAGACAACGAGCCCAATCGGCGTCTAAATAACCAATCAGTGATGGTTTAGATGAATGACGGAAAGATAGACCATACGAAAGTTTGCCTTTTACGTACCGAAGAATATCTTTTACGGCCTGAAAGTGATCAGACGTTGGAGCATGAAGGAATTGACTCATGTGATTAATTGTATAAGACAATTTTCGGCGGGTAATTGTGAGATACAGATCTATCACTGTCGGTCACGTGAGCAACAGACCTGCTAGAGATAGAAGGGTGTTTGTGTGGTTCATCGGCTCCACCGATTAGATCCTTAGAGTGATTTAGTCGATACAAAGGTGCACTTGAAGTGGGGAGTATGTTGTTCCTATTGGGCTGGGGCCTTCCCCGTAAGGCCCCACTGTCGGGGCAATAGACCCATACTCATCAGAGGTAAAATAGGCACAAGCATAAGAAGCGGTATATTCCGAGGTGTATGCGTTAAGCCAACTACGTGATGAGAATTGGGAAGCAGAATTGGCAGATTTCGCTGAAGTTACAAGGTTAGGGACAACATGTGTTAAGCCAATTAGTAAGCTTGATTTTTTTTGTAGGGGCTCCTAAGAGGAGCTTCCCGGGTAGCAAGCTAGTTAGGAGATAAGTCACTTTTGGATTCTTAAGTTAAGTATAGGGGCAGGGAAGAAAGCATGATATTGAAAGGCCCCAACTAGAGAACGATATGAAGTGGGGTCGTGAAAGAGATCATCTTTACTGGAGAGAAAGCAGTAGTAGTAGATAAGAGTGTGGCGACAGCTTTAGCATCAAGCATTATAGCCCGTGTGAGGACATCATGGGCATATTTGGCCTGACTTAAGAGTAAACCAGTTTCATCATGTGTAACCTCTAGACCAAGAAAGTAGTTGAGATGACCCAAATCTTTGATTGCAAATGCCTTACTAAGAGCAAAAATTAAGCGTCGTATGGTCTCCGAATCAGTACCTGCAAGGATTAGATCATCAACATATGCCAATAAATAGATCGTACACGACCCATGTTGATAAACAAACAAAGACGTGTCTGCCTGACTACATACAAACCCCAGGCGTTGAAGAAGGGTGCTGAGACGACAAAACCAGGCCCGTGGGGCCTGCTTTAAACCATACAATGCCTTCTTTAACTGACAAACATGATCAAGAAAACGAGGTTTTGTTGATCATCTCTCTCAGTGATTTGATGATAATCTTTTTTTCCTTATGCGAAGTATTTATGTTTCTGTTATCTCAGTTCCAGCGATCTTCACTAAGTCTGTTCAGTGATCGCTGAAGAGCTTGTATTGTAAATTCAATCAGTGACAGCGATACTTTAAGAAGACAACACTCACACCAAAGAACCTTCAGCTAAAGTCAAAGACTGAAACTGAAGATTAGAAGCTGACGAGTACATGATCTGAAGCGGTATTCAATGATTATAAGTCTGTCTACATATGTGTGAAGACTGCCTAAGCCTCATAGAATGCTGAAGAGATCTTCAGGTTATTCCAGCATTTAGCGATCAAAAGAAGCTTGTTAAACACGATTCTTGTTGTCTTGTCCTTATACATACAAAGGAAAAACTCATACCCTTTCTAAACGTTAGTACGGTATGGAGCCGACTAGTTGACTCTATTACCCACCAACTTTATGAAAGGATGTCTGCTCATGAATAGGCTTTTGTACTATTCACTGTAGCAAAGGACAAACCTTCCTCTTAAGGCTTAACACACGTTCTAACCCTACCATAATGCATTAAATGTGCATTTAATGCAACGGGTATAAATAGATGTGTTTTATCTCCATCAGGGACGTTCCAATCGTTTTAAAGGCTCTGTTACATCTAAAACTTTTGATTGCATTGTATAAATGAGATAACAGAGAATATATGTTAAGAACAAAAATGGGCTAAACCTAAAACGATTAACAATCTGAACCAAAACCTAAACCATTAATAATTTGAACCTAAAACCAAAAAATTATAATTTGAACCTAAATAATTTCGGCTATAATTTTACATAGGTCGATAAAAGACCCTAAACACAATTAAGTTTGGGCCTCAAAATTTTGGGGGACTATTCAAAATATCATATTTAACATGCTAAGGAACAACCCTGAATTCTCCATGCAGAGATACCTAAAAAAATCTTACCTTGAGTTTTCTTACGCTTAAGTAAAAGAACACACATCTAAGAACAAATACGCTCATTTTCAAGAGCAAGTTAGAATCTCTTTTATTGTATTATAAACAAGTTCTCTCCCAGATAGATTTTACTTTCTTCTATTTCTTTAAACAGTAAATCTTTTCTTATTTGCTAAGATTAAGTGTGTAAACTTTAGATTGTTTAGATAGGTTTTTCTTACCTTATCTTTCCGCAAACAATCTGTAAAATCTGTATTGATCTTCTCTTATCAATATATATTTTAAATTTGAAAATACTGTGTTTCTATTCATCCCCCCCATTCTACAAACTGTTATACACATCTTGTAGACCCAAAAGGGACCAACATGTTTCGATGGTTGCTCCGTGAAAACCATTTAAGAAAGCATTTTTAACATCTAATTGATGTAGAGACCATTTACTCAACACAACGAGAGACATTATAATCCTACGGTTGATGCTTTAACAACAGGACTGAAGGTAAGAGAATAGTCGAGACCCGGAATCTGAGTAAACCCATGTGCAACTAGGCGATCTTTCAACCGATCCACAGTGCCATCCGAAAGATATTTATTACGAAAGACCCACTTAGTCCGACAATATTCACGGATTTTGGTTGAGGAACCAAAACCTATGTTTTATTTGCTTGCAAGGCTTGCATTTCCTCTTGCATAGTTGCAAGCCATTCAGGTTGTTTCAGAGTCGACTTAATCCCTTTGTGTTTCTCTCGCAAGAAGATCCTCATGAAGTGGATTGGATTTAACATCTGCAATGTCAGCTATATGACGAGGTTTGAAGATGCCAACCTTAGAACGTGTAGTCATAAGGTGACCGGAAGGGGCTGGAGCAGTAGATGACGCTGGTTCAGCAAGGCCGATTGGAATGGGATGCAAATGGGGTTTTGGTTACGGGTCTGGGTCAGTTGGACCAGGCGGTGGTGAGGATGGATCGGGCAGAGGAGCTGGGCTAGCAGAGTGGGCCGAAAGGTTATGGTTGGCGGGTTGGGTGGGAATGCATATAAGGCAAGGTATAGAAGGCTTGGATGAAGGTTGTGATGTAGGCCGAGGTTTTAAAGCATTTGACTTGCAACGAGAGTAGAAAACGAAGGTTCATAGTAGCTTGAGAAAACCAAAGATGCTAAATCAACCTTGTCCATGACACCGGTAACGGGAAATGAGGATTCATCAAATTGAGCATGCCTAGTGGTGTAAACACGAGAAGTAGATAAATCCAAACATCGATAGCCTTTTGTAATTGGTGTTATAACCAATAAAAACGCATGAAATACTAAGAGGAGCAAATTTGTGTAGAGCATAATCCCGGAGGTAAGGAAAAATCCGACACCCAAAAATTCGAAAGGTGTCATAATTTGCTGAAGCACCAGACAATAATTCACAAGGGCTCTTGTTATGAAGTATCTTCGATGGTAGTCGATTAATGATGTATGTAGCGGAAGTAAAAGCATCGACCCAATAAAAAGTCGGTGCATGAGCATTAAAAAAAATTGCAAGCCCAGTTTCGGTAATGTGACGATGTTTACGCTCGGCCAGCCCATTTTGTTGTGGCGTATAAAGGCATGAGATATGGTGATGAGTGTCATTTTCCATAAAAAGAGACCGTATCTGAGTGTTAACAAATTCCGTGCCTCCATCACTTTGAAATTTTTTAACTTTGCATGAAACTGCGTTTGAACAAATGTTAAAAATGACGGCAACACAATAGAAACATCCGATTTAGTCTTAAGCGGATAAAACCAGGTAAAACGTGAATAATCATCCTCAAAGATAATGTAATATCGATAGCCCTCGGTGGAAACTATCGGAGAAGGTCCCCACAAATCACAATGGATTAAGTCTAACACGTGCAAAGAACGTTTTGGATTGAATTCAAAAGGAAAACGTTTAATCTTAGACAATTGACAAGAAGAACAAATATGAGAAAGAAATAATATCAAAAGAAACATGCCCTAATCTAAAGTGTCAAACTTCAAAAGAGGCTTTAAGTTTATTGGATGGACTGAGACCACACAAGAACCAATGGGATTTATCAAGATCCTCAACGGGGTGGCCGATGGCCGCAAGCTGATCACATAGAGACTTAAATTTCCGGTCATAATCAGAAACATGCATGGTACCTTTCTACAATTGTCGAAGACAATCTCGAAGGTTTTGCATTCGTTCCACAGAATCGTGACTATAAGCGTCTTCAAGGGCATGCCATACATCTCGAGCCGTGGCAAGACCAAGAGCTTTGACCATGGCTTCTTTAGAAAGAGAAGATTAGATGATAATAAGAGCACGTTAATAAGTAGGGGGTGGTGGGGTAAGAGATCCATCAACATGGCCAACCAACTGTCGATAAGTAAGCAAAGAAAGAATCTGATTTCGTCATAGCAGATAGTTAGAAGAAGAGAGTTTTATGGTGATTAAGTGAAGAAGCGTAGAAAGAGGGAGGGGGGAGTCTTGTTTGTCGCAGGCGGCCATGAGGAAGCGAAGGTAGGATAAGGATCAGAGACTAGGCTGATACCATGTAGAATATTATAAAATCCATCTCACAGTTGAATTATGATACAGTACCCTATAAATAATACAAGAAAGATAGAAAAACTAAGAAACAGTTACAACAATATCCTATATACAAAAAAAAAACCTAATATTACTTTAATTTTGAAAGATATTTATAATATTAATCATGAATCAGACATTTAAAATAATCAAAGACATGTATGTTAATAGAAGTGTATACATATGATTGTGGTTGAATTAGTTTTAGATTTATCCGGTAGAAATAGACATCTCCAGCTACTCGCATTAACATATTGGCCAATGTATGTCTCCCTCTTGCCATCCATCTTTTTCTATGGTGGTCCATTTTTATTTTGGCAGAATATTAATTTGACTTGTATTGGTCGTATGTATTTAATAAGCTAAAACTATTACATATATATATACATAGACTTAAGATCATGTGAGACCAAAGGTTTTACATAAGATCCATAAGATCAATTCTCAACTCTTGGATTAGATCTACAATCTGACAATTTGAACATTCATAAACGTCACGAGACTTCTCAATAACCACAAAATTGTCAACGCACAACTTTAAACCATTAGATCATTAGCTTATAAAGTTGATCAATGAACATAAATTGGTCTTACGGGTCTCATGAAAAACATTTGGTCTCACGTGAACCCAACCCTATACACACACACATACACACACATATATATATATATATATATATATATATATATATATATACACATAGGTTAATTACATAACAAAAAGTCAACGGCAAAATACTAAAATATAAAAAGAAAATCAAATAACATCTTACAAAAAAACGTGCATCATGTCATTATGTGTCACGGACACTAAACAAGGCGTGAGAGACAAGCCTTGCGCGCTACGACGATCACTACAAGACATGCCTTTTAGAACAGTAAAGTCCCGCCAAAAGCTTGTTTTTAATTACAAATGGGCACAAAACGTACTAATACGTTCATAGCTATGGTACAATGATCACCTTACGTGTACTTCACATTATTAAAACCAAAACAACGTATACGTACAACTAAATCAACTAGGCTTACGAAAACCATATCAACGTCACGTTTTATAACCGCATGGGATGATAAGGTCCCTGCTGTGAACGCGATGACACGCGTTTAAACGAATGAAATCATCGACAAGGAAATAAAAATATCGGGTCGGTTAATGATTTCCATTGATCGTTTCCGAATCTTTAAATAATTATAAATAAATAATTGGTGGTCCTTTTTTTTCTTTTTCTTTTTTCTTTTTTTTTTCTGACATTGTTCTTATCATAATTTCTAATAAATGCAGCAATTTGCTCTCCAAAAGTGACCCCAAGTCTTCCTACTCCATACACACAAAAGGCAGCAGCTGTTCCCTCTCTCTTTCTCTATGATGCACCACATATTCTCAACCCTAAAACACACACACACACTTCTCTTAATCTGCAACTTTCTTCAGTTTCATGCAGTTCTACAGAAATTGAATTGAAGAGTAATGAGTCACTGTGTACCGAGTTGGGATACGCTCGACGACTACCCTGATCGTAATCCCAACCCTGGTTATCGCAAACCCGACTTGCGTGCTTCCTCCAACTCCATGTCGTCCCATCTCGATGCGCCGATGTACGTTTCTTTCTTTGCATTCTGTTATACGATTCTTGAAGCTTACATGTTGATTGTCTCTCTGAAAAACATGGAACCCATTTGAATTTCTATCTGAAAAGAACCCTTATATGTTTATTTATATATATATATATATATATATATATATATATATACAAACACATATATGTATATATGTTTGATAGTTCGTATGTGAAATGGAACTCCAACACGCTTCCTCAAATGGGGTTAAAAGATCGTATCAAGTTCTAATTAATACCATGTTAAGATATGTAGATTCTTAAATCTTTATAAAAACCCCTTTATAATGATAGGGAAGGTTTGTGTAGAGCAAAATTCAAATGTAAACCAACTATATATTTCATAGATCATGCATGATGAATAACCATGAATAGATAATATATTCTCTATGAATATATTGTCATAATTAATAATATAAATGTATTTTATCATATATATATATATATATATATGTATAACAATATGGATAGTTTATCTTCATATATAAAAAATTTATAAGATTATCATGTGAATCTACTGCAATTTCATGTGTATATATACATAGAGGTGAGATCGGGGAAAAAACCTGGAGAAAAAAGAACCAAATAACACATTTAAACCAACAGATTAAGATGATCAAAATGATGTGGTTAAAAAATATTTCCTTTTATTTTCATATCGAAAATCCAAAAAAAAAATTGAAACCAAACGAAAATTCCACGAATCGAGTACTGTATTATCTTTAATATGACATCATTTTGATATATTTTTAATCTGTTTTTTCATGTTTCTTCGATTCTTTTCCAAGTTTCTCTAAATCTTTTCTCTCTATCTATCTATCTATATATATATATATATAGAGAGAGAGAGAGAAAGAGAGAGAGAGAGCGAAAAAGAGAAAAAGAGAAAAAGTTAGAAATCAAACGAGAATAGAATAAATATTGAAAAAACACAAAATCAGTTGATTATTTTATATTAAAATCACATATGATTACAGAATATAATTGATATAAGACTGAGGAGACAACTTTGTTAAAATTATATGAATACATATGATTTTAATATAAAATGAGATATAATCTAATGATTGATATTTATACTACGTGGGAATGCAAGAGGGTCCTCGCATGATATCAAATCTAATGCATTTATTTATATTTATTTATTTTTATTTTATTTTTGCAAAATTAAATAATCATATATATTGTCGTTATTTTGTAGACTAGATTACGCCGTGGCGGAATTAACATGGAAGAATGGACAACTGGCCATGCATGGATTAGGGCCGCCGCGCGTGGTCAACAAACCCCACGCCACCGCCGCCACTCTCACCAAATACACCTGGGATAAGCCACGAGCCGCCGAGACTCTTGAATCCATAGTCAACCAAGCCACACTCCCACCCAACCACAAACCCCAAATGCACATCTACGGCGCCGGCGACCTGGTGCCATGGCTAGACCACCAGAGCTCCGCCACTGCCGCCGGTAGCTTTAGCGCGTCGGTCACCATGACCATGGACGCGTTGGTCCCGAGCTCCAACGCCCAACCTCCGGCAGCGTCGTTGAGGTCCGGTGTAGGTGCCGGACGTTGTTCCACGCGCGTGGCGTCGTGCAGCGGCGATCAGTCGGGCTTTGTGGACCAGAGGATACGTGGCGGTGGTGGTGGTACTGCGGCTGCGACCGCGACGCATGAGTGGAGCAGCTGCAGGGACCAGAGTGCAAGTGGTAGTGCGAATTTTGGAATGGAGAGTAGCCGACAGTTGACCGTTGAAACGTGTGAGAGGGAATTGGGTGTGAAAGGGTTCACGTCTACTTCAATGGGGTCGCCGGAAAATACGACCTCCGGCAAACGCTCCACGAAATCAACGTCTCCCGATGAACAAGATTCCGTCTGTCACAGCAAACCTCAGGTATACATTGTTATAAAATTAATTAATATAATACAGAATGTATTATAATAAAATTAGATTTATATAACCTAAAAAATATATAAATATTTGTTTTAATAAACTGTTTTATATTATTTTAATTTAAACGTCTTTAACAATTTTTTTTTAAATGTTTATACAATAAAGTATGATATTAATTTGTTCAATATTTAAGAAAACATTTTTATGAATATATTTCTAAAAGATATTCATTTTTACTAAATTTTTATTTTTAAATAATATTATAAATATTTTAATAATGTTTTATAACATTTAAGATAGAATTGTTTGGTCTAATATATTACAATATTAAAGTTGGACCGGTTGGATGATAAGTTAAACATTCCAATTCGTGCTTTAATAGAGATGGTCCCACGTATTTAATTTTTGTGAAAAAATTATATATAAGGGTCAATTCAAGAGAGAACTGACTAGTTTATAGTAATCGTTAGGTTCAATTCAATCATAATTCAATAGATAAATTAGAAAATTTATAATTTTGGTAATTTTGGATTAAAATTTTAATGGAATGACATTTTAAGTATTTTTTCTCCTCTCCTCTCTCCGTCCCCCATCTTCCGGCCTCCGGTGATACTACTGTGATACCCAAAAATATTGACTATGTTAAACAAAAGACGCATTGTGATACCCAAGCACATATAAGATGCATTATGATACCACTGTCTTACATCTTCGATCGACCACACAAACAACCTCAGTGTGATACTCAAGCACATATAAGATACATTGTCATACCACTGTGGTATCACCAGAGGACGGTGGTCGGGAGATGGAGAGAGGGGAAAAAATATCTAATGTCTTTGTATTAAAATTTTAATTCAAAATTACCAAAATTATAAAATTCATAATTTATCTATTGATTTGTGGTTGAGATTGAACCTCACGGTTACCACAAACTAATTAGTTCTAATTTGATTAGGTCCCTATATATTTATATATAGACTTGGGATCACGTAAGACCAGCATGTTTTTGTGAGACTCGTGAGATCGTTTTTGCTATGAAGGTTCGATTTTTTTTTTACCTTTACAACGTTTTGATGTGAAACTTCAAGTATAAAAAAATTAGTCTCACAGTTCACATAAAAACAAGTTGGTCTTCACGTAAATCCAACCCTATATATGTATGTATGTGTCCCTGGAACACTTCCGACATGTTTAACCCGTGTGTCACTTTGGATTTTGTTTCCTTTTTAGTTAGATTTTTTTTAAAATAAACTATAAATTTGGCTCAAATGGTTTGATAAAAATAACATTTTTCTCTCTAAAGTTGTGAAATTACAAAATGACTATAGTAGTTTGCTGAAACGTTTAGATTTGGTCCCTTCTTTTAACGACGGTTAAAAAATTCCGTTAAATAAGAGGAATTTTTGTTATTTTATAAATTTTGTTGTCTTTTTAAATTACGATTTTCGTATATATTATCTATTAATAATTTTTATTTTTTACCTTTGTGGTTTAAAATTACGATTTTCATCCATATAATTTATAATTATTATTTTTATCTCTAGACTAATTCTTATATTTTTAAGTAAAAGATATTAAAACAATAAAGAATTGTAAACCACAAGAATATTGAAACAACAATAAATTATAAATAATAAGAATAAAAATAACAATGAATTACAAACTCTAGGATGAAAACCGTAATTTCTAAACCAAATGGATGAAAATTGCAATACTTAACAAACCATAAGGGCTAAAAACATAATTTACTCTTTAACAAATTGTGAGAGAGAGACTAAGTGATTTTTTTTAGCCATTTTGTAATTTTAAAACTGCTAAATCAAAAAGTATTATTTTTGATATCTGATAATCATTTGTTTAGCAGAGCAATATGGAGGAAAAGAAGAAAGGGAAAGGAAAGTCTTCGATCTCAACTAAAAGAAGTAGAGCAGCTGCAATTCATAATCAATCCGAACGGGTAGATTTTCTCTTATTTCAGATATTGTTAAAAATATTATTTTCTGATTAATTAAACTAGTTGTGTACCTGCGCAATGCGGCGGGTCCTGTGAATTTTAACGATTTTAAAGTTTCACTGGTTTTATTAGAGAAGATTTAACGATGATATAAGTTACACTTGGTCTTTACATATTAATGCAATTTCAATAAATAAGAGTTATGGTTCTAATTACAGTCAATCGATGAAAAAAATTGCATGACAGTTTAAAATCTAATATATTTAAAATCTAACATATTAAACAACTCCACAAATGTGTTCGATTTACACCAAGAGCAAATAATCAAGAGATCGAGAGCGAGACTAAGAGTTCTAGAGCAATTGCATGAGAGATTAATTAAAGAACTTTTAATAACTCATAATGAATATCAATTTCAATCTCACATTGGGGGATGGGAAGAAGACATAGAGGTATGAGAGGGTGAAGGCATGAGTGTCAAAAGTATCTTGTAAACATGAAAATAAAAGGTAATAATATGCATTGGTAACTTGTACTATATGTTATTTTAATTGTAGATTAAGAGACTTTAAGACTGAATGCATAAAGTAATAGTACTTAATGATTATGCGTTGTTTTTAAGACTTTGTATATAAATGTATAGTAATTTGTGCATTAAAAATTGTTTTTAAGACTTTTGATAAATCTGGTTTATAAGGTAGTATAGATAACGGTGATATTATGTTGATAAATTGTTTTTCAGAAACGAAGAGACAAGATTAATCAAAAGATGAAGACACTACAAAAGCTTGTTCCAAATGCCAACAAGGTATGAAGCCTTCGATTTCGGGGTTGTTTGTTTACCTCTTAATAGTTCCATTAAGAGGCAGCCTCTGAATCATTATAAGATGAACGATGAGAGCCTCTTAATCATTCTGACTACTTAATCATTATGCACCAAACTATTTAGCAACTTCCAAACAACTTCTTCCTTTCACAATCAATTGGCAATGATGTATTGATGACACTGATCTTATTAGTCGTTTTTTCAGACAGATAAAGCATCGATGCTTGACGAAGTGATTGAATACCTAAAACAGCTACAAGCACAGATTCATATGATGAGTAGAATGAACATGTCACCAATGATGATGCCGTTAGCCATGCAGCAGCAACAACAGATTCAAATGGCGATGATGAACCCGATGGGAATGGGAATCGGGATGGGGATCGGCATGGGAATGCCCGGAGTCATGGACTTGAACGCCATCGGCGGCAACCGCTCCAACATCCCAGGCATACCACCGGTCTTCCACCCCGCCACCTTCATGCAAACACCAATGGCTTCATGGGATATGCACACAGGGGGCGATAGAGTTACAAACCCTAACGACCCGATGGCTGCTTTTCTTGCATGTCAATCACAGGTATGAATCAATCAACCCTATGAACACGTTGCTTGCATGGCAAGTAACCAAAATCAACATATTTTTTTATTTAAATAATATATATTTGCATTAATTATTGCAGCCAATGACGATGGATGCATACAGTAAAATGGTGGCTTTGTTTCAGCATATGCAAAATCAACCATGCTACACGGGTCTCAAGAATTGAAGTAATTAACGTTTATTTATTTTTATTATATTGTTTTTAAAGTGTTTATAAATTTAAATATAAATTTAATAGATAATTTAATTTTAGGTTAATAATTGATATAACGTGTGTGTGTATAGTGTAGGTTATTTTCATTGTTTAAATAAAGATAATCTATACTATTTATAAAGCATTTGATAACAATTTTTAAAAATCATTTTTTATGCATGAAATATTGTGTATTGATAAATATTACTTAAAATTTAAGATTACAAGTAATTTTGTGTAAGTACAACTTATTAAAGTTCCATTTTTAAATTTGTGTAACTAACTGCTGATAAACATAATCAAATACAGGATAAACATTCATTTTAAATATAGAAAATCTAAAATATAATTAAGATAATCATTAAGTTCTAACAGAATGTTTAATTATTATCTTTATAAAAACTATATTATTAAATCAAAAATAAATTATTTTGTTATTAATTTTAAATTAAATTATAATAAAAAATTAAATTAAAGAAGTTACACCAAAAAAATAAGAACTATTAAATAGTTAATTTGATATTATTGTCAATATTTTTCCTTTTACAAATTTTTATGTAATCTTCAAATTTACATTTTTATCCAAAAATAAAAATGTTACCGTTTTCTCAAAACCATATAAAATCTTATTATATCGATAGAGACAAAGAATAAAAACTAAACATTAAAATCGAAATTTATCTCGTTGTATTGCGCGAGTACCTTTCTAGTAATTAATTAAATTGTTTGCCTAAATATTTATTGATCGGTTTAAATTGAACGGATTAGATTAGGGCGAAATGGATTGGCATCGAACGAGCTAACTCTACATCGTCCGAAACCCGTGAATTAATTAATTAACTTTTTAATATATTATTTCAAAATAATTAATATACAAAAACTGTTGTTGGAGATCCAGCTTGCCTTGTGTGAGGATGGTTATCTGTTGTTCGAGATCCAGTCCGTTTCGTTTCGTTGGCTTTTGGTAAGGTCTTGACCTTTGTCATGCTGTAATCCGTCTTCTTTTGGTTAGTTGTTTCTTTTTGGTCGTTTCAGGTTCTTTTTGACCCATATGCAAAGCGAAAAAATATTGAACACTTGCATTTTTCATTTTTGGACTTGGTTCTGGTAAGTTGTTTTTACCAACTTTGAAACTTTTGTACGTTATTGGATATTCGCGGACATCAAATTACTCATAGTTGTAAGTTGTACATTCGTCATCCCTGCTAAGGAAATCAAATAAATGTTAATCATGGATGTTTTAGTCAGCTTGCATGCACCTCGACTAATCTCAAGAGCCCTGGAGAATAAGCCGTGAAGGTCCTCGGCGTATTCCAGGACTCGAACCAATGACCTCTGAGGAGGATTCCTAAAAACTCATGTCGTATTGACGCTTGAGCCAACCCCACAAGGTTACTATACAGTATATTCTTCTCCATTTATTGATGAATTATGTAATAATGACTTCGGTAATGATTTGTTTGAACATTACAACAAATCGGGTTTATAGGACACCCAAAATGACAAAGTGTCCTTATAGATTGTTTTATAGGACCTAACAATGACACGTTCTATCTAAATGTGTTACAATAAGTTTGTAAGCCGCGTTTCTTTACGTTATACCAATACCTGTGAATCAAACTCTCAGGTTGTAACGTGATAAATCAAGACTTACTTTTTACATGCACCCCTATTTATTGTTAAATGACTCCTTACTTATTAATTTCCTCCTCACATATGTTAAAATCAAGATTTACTTTTTACATTTGCAATATATAATTTGACCCGATTCTGACATGAAAGAAGGAAATTACTCAAAATAGTCATTTCAGTTTTGTACATTTACCTCTTAGTTATTTCTCTCCAAAATTTCAAAAATATCACTATCTCCGCAGGTAGCAACTCCTCAACTTGCGAAGGGTCAAATTGTAAAAAAAAATGTTTCAAAACATGGTCTTCAAGTATAGGGACCAAATATGTAAAAGTCCAAATACATCCGCAATGCAAGTAGCTATTTGCAGGACGTTTAACTAAGTTACAGATTTGGTCCATGTACTTGCGGAGCATGTTAAGAATATACTTCTTTTACTTTTGACCCATCTATAAGTTAAGTAATTGTTACTTGCGGAAGTAATGATATTTTGACTACAAGATATATTTGTCTGATAGAAATGGCTATTTTGAACAATCTATAAAAAAAGGTTCATATAACATCACACTTTATATACATAAAAATAACACATATTTTATTTCAATTATTATTTGAAATAAATATTTATATATATATACTATATTATAAAGCATTTGACAAAAACTCTTAAAAACCATTTTTTATGCATGAAGTACTGTTTATCGATGCATATTACTTAAAATTCATGATTATAAGTAAATTATGCATAAGTACAACTTACTAAACCTCCATTTTTGAATTCGTATAACTAACTGCAGATAAACATAATCATATACAGGATAAACATCATATTTTAAATATAAAAAATCTAAAATATGATTAGGGTAATCGTTGAGTTCTAATAAAATACTTAATTATTATCTTTATACAAAATTATATTAATAACCCAAAAATAAATTGATTCGTTATTAAACTAATAGAATATTTAATTATTATCTTTATAAAAAAATATATTATTAAACGAAAAATAAATTGATTCATTATTAGACCTAAATTAAGTTATAATAAAAAAAATAAATCAAACTAAATACACAAAAAACGAGAACTTTTAAATAGTTAATCTGATATTAATATCGATGTTTTTTTTTCAAAATTTTAATCACAATATCTTCAAATAAATATTTTATTCAAAAATAAAAACATTATCTTCTTCTCAAAACCATATAAAACTGTATTATATCAATAGACAAAGAATAAAAGAAAACAATAAAATCGAAATGTATCTCGCTGCATTGTGTGAGTACCCTTCTAGTCAATACTATGTTATAAAGTTTGACAAAAACTCTAAATAACTATTTTTATGCATGAAGTATTATTTAGTGATGCATGATACTTAAAATTCAAGATTACTAGTAAATTATGTTTAAGTACATTAAATCTTCATATTCGAATTCGTGTAACTAACTACAGATAAACATAATCAAATAAATAATAAGCATCTCATTTTAAATATAAAAAATCTAAAAAATAATTGGATAGTCATTGACTTCTAACAAAATACTTAATTATTATCTTTAAAAAATTATATTATTAAACCAAAAATAAAAAAATAAATTAAAAAAATACACAAAAAATGAGAAATTTTAAATAGTTAGTTTCGTACTAATATCAATATTTTTTTCAATTTTTTATGACATCTCCATATTTTTATTTTATTCAAAAATAAAAATATTATCATTTTCTCAAAACCACATAAAACCGTAAAATAACATCAATTGAGACAAAAAAAACGAAACATTAAAAACTTAAAATCAAGATGCATCTTGCTGCATTGCGTGAGTACAATTCTAGTATATTATAAAACATTTGACAAAAACTCTTAAAAATCAGTTTTTATGCATTAAGTATTGTTTATTGATGCATATTACTTAAAATTCAAGATTACAAGTAAATTATGCATATGTACAACTTACTAAAACTTCATGTTTGAATTCGTATAATTAATTGCATATAAACACAATCATATATTAGATATGCATCTCATTTTAAATATAAAAAATCAAAAATATATTTAAGATAATTATTGAATTACAACAAAATACTAATTATTATTTTTATTAAAAAACTATATTATTAAACCAAAAATAAATCACTTCATCATTAAGTCTATATTAAATTATGATAACAAAATTAAATCAAAAAAATTACATCAATTTTTTTTAATATTTAATTTGATACTAAAATCGATACATTTTTTTTCAAAATCTTTATTGTACCTTCGAATTTATATTTTATTCGCAGTACTACATGAAATCGTATTAGAACATCAACGGAGATAGAATAAAACGAAACATTAAATTCGGAATGCATCTCACTACATTACATGAGTATCATATTATATATATATATATATATATATATATATATATATATATATATATATAATGGTTTAATTAGAAATAGTGTACTTGAAAAGGGTACGAGAGACATGGAACATGGGATGTTTCTGTACTACAAATAATTGGATCCAATGCCATCAACTTGGATCATGTATTAACCATATGTTTTCTTTAAGGATTGCGACTTCACTTCAATCCAATCATTCACTCATTTTCATGTCAACCATCCATCCATATATTTCTTTATTGTTTATTTTTTAAATAAATTTATTTATTTATTTATCCTTTTTTTTTACAAAAATTAGAAAATTTCCAAATTAAAAACGATCTTGTTAATAAACTATTACATATTTTCAATAAAACTACGGTTGTTCACGTTTGATTCTGATAGTTTAATCTCTTAAATTGTAAATCAAATCACAATTATGGTTTAGATAAAATTTCAAACGGGACCATAAAAAGAATAAAATTTCTACAAATAAAGCATCATTAAAAAAATATTACATCAAAATAAATATTTATCTCAAAAATTAAAAAATACTGAACAGGTTAAAAATACGTTAAACAAGTTCACCAAGAATGGTTAAGTTTTGGTTAAACATTAAGCAAGTCGAATGATGATTTTGAAATTTTGGGTTTTGACGATTTCATGAACGTGGACAATTGAACAGTGAGTACTGAAACCTAATGTCTTGGATGAACTTTTGTCTAATTGGACCTACAACATGGGAAGTAAATATATAACTGAGTTGATACATGTGTTTTTTTAGCAGTTAGTTCGGTCTAAATGTATATTTTTTATAACATGTGAATTGGGGCTTTTGTTTACTAGTTGCTAAGGATTTTCGATCTGATTTCTAAGTTCAAAACAACTCTTATAGGATGTGAAAATTCTATTAAAAGTTGATTCGTTCTGGCTTTTTACGAGATTTATGAAAGCAAAGTTATTATTTGTATTGTTCTGATAGGGATATTTAGAGAAGGAAGATTATGGTAGCAA